AACTGATGGAATTTATTGTTTGAAGATGTAATCAGCATGAGATGATCCCAGGGAAAGTGACAAAGGTCCGAAGATCCCATCTCCATCAGTTTTCTAGCCTTGCTTTTCAGCTTAACTTTCAGTCAAACCAGGAAATTAAAAAACAACCAATTTGTCAATGGGAAAATAAATCAAAATTTACGACAGACTAGAGCAGGGGGAAGATGAAGATAAGGGGCATGTATTCATGGAGGGAAAGGTGGTCTGGAAGGGGGAGGCCAGTCTTTGTAACACATCCTTGCAAATCTTTCTCAGGAGAGTTTGTTTTCAGTCGTCTGGAATTAAAAGTTCAATTCCCAGGAGGCTTATGTTTATGGTCCTATGGGACCACCACAGCATAATTCAGGAAACTGTCATTTAATGACCTGGCCTTTTCTCCTCCATCAGTCAGCTGGCAGGGGAAGACTGGGCCCATCAGCCTGAGCCAAACCCCAAACCACTATTGATTCACAGAGACTGTCTGCCCACCAGGAAGTCAAAGGAACAGACAAACACTTTTTGTTACAATCTGCTTAAGGGAAATTGGTTTTCACATCTTGTCAAACAGGAAGAAACATTCATCTTCCCCTCAATGAAAACTGATTTGAATAAAATTTTTATTTTTCAAACCACTTATGATTATGTTAAAACTTAAAACTTTACTTTTGAATGAGGAAGAAAACCTATAGCAAATTTCCAGGTGGCAGTTAACATGTACCATCACCAAAATGCCAACCAACCAAGGGTCAGGGCTGCAGACACAGATACGACTGGAAGCATCTAAAAGGCATCTAAATAACTCCCATCCAGGCGGAAGCCAGCGTTTCATACCTGCCCTCAATCCCCACCTAATGAAGAAGCGTGTTCATTTCTATTTCCCATCCTGCTAAATGAGATCGGGGTTCACCCACTTACCTGAGCGCGTCACATTTATCTTGTCACCATAAGGAGGACACTCTATCTCAGCATCCTGTCTGGAATGTCACACCTTCTCCTCCACACCCGGCCCTACTGCCTCGCCTCTTCTCCAGACTATCCACAGCCTCCTTTCTATCTTCCTTTCCTTTCAATGTTACTGTCAGACAAATCAAAATTCTACCTGCCCTTCAAAATTACATGGAAACATCACTACCTCCATGAAGCTGTGCACCCCCCCATCCCCAAGACTTAACTGTTCACTCCTCAGTGCCTACATTCATTTCTTTTTAACCTTTACTATAAAACGTGCCACAATTTCCAAGCCACAAATGATGAACCTCTATATGTGGCAGAGATGAGTTCTTAGTGCCTACAGGGCTTCATGCAGAGTTCCTCAGGGTGAGATGCAGACCCACTCTATGGACTTACCATCCGCACTGTGGCCTTAGCCCAGAGGGCCCCGCTGCATTTGCATCTTCTCTCCTTTTGTAGGAGTGAACAGATGTGTGTTACATGTATGTGTGCTGGCGGGGGCAGGGGTGTCGGGGGTGTAACACAGGCCAGAGGCAC